GCGCCTCCGCCCGGCCGGCCGGCGGGGGGAGGGGGCATGAGCCGGTGCCCGCGCACCGCCCCGAGCTGCGGGCCGGCCTAGAGCCCCGCGCGGGCCCCGCGCCCGAGCCGCCACCGCCACCGAGCCGCGGGCGCCGCGATGCAGCGGTCTGGGGACCCCGGCGCCGCGCGCTTCGGGCCGCCCGAGGGCTGCGCCGACCACCCGCCGCATCGCTACCGCAGCTTCATGATCGAAGAGATCCTCACCGAGCCGCCGGGGCCCAAGGGCGCCGCGCCCGCCGCCGCCGCTGCTGCCGCGGCGGGCGAGCTGCTCAAGTTCGGCGTGCAGGCGCTGCTGGCCGCGCGGCCCTTCCACAGCCACCTGGGTACGTGCGGGGCCGGGCGTTGCGGGGAGCGAGCCGCTCTGCCTCGAGGACGCAGCTCTGGGTGCACAGGCCCCGGCCGCTCCCAGGGCGCGCTCCAGCCAGGAAAGCGAGGGGCAGGCGCCGGGCCGCGCAGAAAGCAGGCCTGGTGCCGGCAAAGCCAGGCCGGCTGGGGGGAGGGGGGCGTCCGCTCTCTCCTTCACCGCCGACCTGCGGCCTCCGGTCGGGGCCCCGAGCCCGCATCCCCAGAGCGGGCGCAGGACCGGACTGCGAATGTCAGACTGCGGGTCAGAGCGACCTCGGGCCTCGGGCTCCCGGGCCTAAGCCGCAGAGGGCTGGTCGGGAGTGGCCGCGGCTGCCCATGGCGGGGAAGCCGGACCTTTGGGGCAGAAGCCCATGTCTCCGAGGACTGTGCTGGGGGCTAACGCTGGTTCCGGGGACTCCGGTGGGGGAGCAACGGCCTCTGCCGCAGCGCGATGCCCGTGGGCCTCACCTGGGGACACGAGGCCTGGCTGTGAGCCGCTGCCGCCTGGCCCTTTCCCTCCAGGTCGGCTGGGCCTCCTGGGATCTTGAGCTGCCTGTTCTGGCTTTTTCTGCCGCCATCGGTTCTCTTCCTTCCTTGGCTGATCCTGCCTTTTCCTGCTGGTTCTCTTCTCGGTACCCCTTCTTCTTCTGGCCTTTCCCGGTCTCTCTCCCCCCCATCGGTGGACTTTTCGATGGGGTCCGTCTGCCCTCCCTGTCCTACCTTCCCCCAAGGATCGCTCGTCCCCTCCTCACGTTTGTCCACACCTTGCCCGGCCCTGGCCGACTCCAGCGGGCGAGCATCTGCAGCCCCAGTGATGCCTGCCGGGGAAGGGAGGCCCCGCACATCCCAGCAGGAGCCCCACCCTGCAAACGGCCTTGCTCTGCACCCAAGACCCTCAGGCCCAGGCCCCGCCAGCGCGGAGGGCCGCAGGGCCAGTTTGTTCGTTTTCATGCAGCTCTGATGCAGCCTCTCCGCAGCTCTTTGCACTGTCGTTAACAATTCGTTTGAAGCGGGGGGAGGGGGGGAAATCATCGTCATAGGACTAATGAAAAATGGAAACGTCTTCGAGGGAAGAGTCTCAACAGAGAAAACAGGAAGGACAATTTCCCGATGCGGGGAGATGCTTGGAGTCTTTGCGGAGCGCCCAACCTCACCCCCGCAAGTGACCCCCGTCTGCCCGCCGCGTGGCTGTGGCACGGGCACAGAGGAGCAGACGCACTCAGGCGGTTAATGTTCTGGTTTCGGGACACAGTGATGCCAACTTGGTTGGGGCAAACACTCACCTTCCTGACTCACTGCCATTTCTTCTTGCTTTCCCTTTTCTGTGAAAGACACACTGTGCTTCTCAGAGCCCCGACTTTATTCATTGAGAATCCCGGAGGCTGCTGGGGCCTGGGGGACACCAGGCAGAGGCCCGGGTGGGGGAGGTCCCCCCTCCCAGACTTCAGTGACACTGGCTTTGAAGAGGGTCACCCTAGGCAAGCGGCCCAAATCTTGACCTTTGTGGCCAGACAGGAAGGTTTTGTGCTGGGTGGCACTGGCCAAGTGTGGCGAGCACTCCCACGGCGCACAGTGTAGGGGTTCTCCAGGAGGAGGAGCACGGCCCAAGCTCACCGGCTCCCTACTCTCTCTTCTTGCAGCCGTGTTGAAAGCTGAGCAGGCTGCGGTGTTTAAGTTCCCTCTGGCGCCGCTGGGCTGTTCCGGGCTAGGCTCGGCGTTACTGGCAGCAGGGCCTGGACTGCCCGGCGCCCCTGGCACACCGCACCTGCCTCTTGAGCTGCAGCTCCGTGGGAAGTTGGAGACACCGGGCACCGGGGATCCAGGCGCCAAGGCCAAGAAGGGGCGTCGGAGCCGCACGGTGTTTACTGAGCTGCAGCTGATGGGCCTAGAGAAACGCTTTGAGAAGCAGAAGTACCTCTCCACGCCGGACAGGTAGCCATGGGGCCAGGCTGAGCCCAGCGGGTTGTGGGAGGGGTCTGCTAGCCCTGCTGAAGGTGCACCATGATCTTTCCAGAATAGATCTCGCTGAATCTCTGGGCCTGAGCCAGTTGCAGGTGAAGACGTGGTACCAGAATCGGAGGATGAAGTGGAAGAAAATAGTGAGTGTGCTTGTGACTTTTTGCACCCCGGTCACCACCAGGCCCTTGTGCCCTCCAGGAGCTCCCCACCACCACCATCACCACCACCACCACCACCAGGCCCCTGTGCCCTCCAGGAGCTCCCACCCCCACCCCCACCGCGGAGACTTCTACCCAATCCTTCCAGTTCCCTCCGTGCCTGGTGCCCACAGGGACCCTCTCTGTGCTCTCCCTCCCTCTGGGTGCCCTAGCACAGCCCACATTCCTTCGTGCTCCGCTGCACCTTCAGGCCTTCCGGCAGCTTTGAACCCCTAGGCCCGACCCTTCGGTTGCTTTCCCCAGCAGCGCTCAGATGCCCGCCATTTCCCCGGGCTAGGCGCGGCCTCGGACGGCCTCGTTGTGCCGGGCAGGTCCTGCCTGGGCACAGGGCGCGGGGTCCCGCGCCCCGGTCCTAGCTCACCGCCGTGCGGCCATCCTACGCGCAGGTGCTGCAGGGCGGCGGCCTGGAGTCTCCCACCAAGCCCAAGGGGCGGCCCAAGAAGAACTCCATTCCCACGAGCGAACAGCTCACGGAGCAGGAGCGCGCCAAGGAGGCGGAGAAGCCGGCGGAGGCGCCAGGCGAGACCATCGACAGGAGCCGCGAGGACTGAGCGCCCAAAGCGTCGACCGGGGCCCCCTCCGCCCGCTGGAAGCCGCGAGCCGGCCCTTCCGCGGCCACGCCGTTTGCTTTCTAAACGTTTTATTATTACCTTGAATGCGGACAGTTAGGGGCAAAGCGAGAAAGGACACAGACCCTGCAGCGAAGCCCGGCCCCAGTGCACTCCCAGCCCTGGCCTGGGGACTCGCGTCCGGCACGGCGGACGGACGCCTGGGCCCGGAGCTCCGCGCGCATTCACGCCCCGCTCCTCTCCCGCACTCCCACCCGCCTCGGCCGGCCCTCCGCGGCCTGACGCCGCCGGCACACACTCGCTTCCGCCCGTCGGGGACCCCGCCGCCTGGCTCAGGCCACTATGGCCCGATAGGGCGCCCCGACAGCCCGGCGGCTCTACCCTGAGGCCGGGTCCCCCACGGCGCTGGGGCTCCTACCCCTCTCTTGCGAAGACAGTGATTTTTTTCCAATAAAATATTTTATGACACAGCGGGGCTTGATGAAGGGGTTTCTGAGTCTGCGGGGCTGGAGGAGGGGGGTCGCGGCGGTTCGTAAGAGGGACACTCGCACTGGCTTCTGAAACATCCTCTCCCCACGCTTTGCGGGAGCGAACTGTGACCTGCCCCCACGGGCTCGGACTGGCAGGGCAGGCGGCCCAGTTGCTGCAGGATCCCAGCAATCGCTTCCTCTCGGTGTGAGGCTCCAAGGCGAGCCTCCTCCCCTTTCTTCCCAGGCCAGGGCTCCCGCGGTAGCAGCGGGGCTACACAGGGGTCTTGCAGAGGAGTAGGAGCCCCAGGCCGCGGTGGAGCTGGCTCCGGAAGTGTCCCGGGGCTGAGAGCCGCCTCCGGTTGTTGGTTCGGTCTCCAGGGACTTGAAGAACCGCCTGTGAGGTCCTCGAGATGGTCCCGGTCCGCTCTCGTGAGGCAGACGGGGAGCCCCGGCTCCGAGGTCCACACAGAGGCGCGCCACCCGGCCTCAACAGTGCCTGCGCCAGGTCTTAACGTTTTGTGCAGTACATGCCCAGCGGCGGCGCCTAGCCCCGAGGTCCGACTCTGGCAGCAAGGGCACCTGACCTAGGCAGAGGACAGAGAGCCTCCCCAGTTCTTGCAGGGTGCCCTTTCCAGGGGTGCAGCTTGGTGGCATGTGCCCGCGGTGCCCTCTCCTCACACGGGAAGGCTTCAGCTGACTTCTGACTCTCTAGGTTGGACTGCGCAGGCCTGTGGGTTCCAGTCTTTGCACTTCCTATGAGGACGAAGAGCAGGGCCTGGGGATGGAGAGATGGCCACTTTGCTGGTTAAAGCTCAGGGAGAGGCCCCATATTGGCCCTGCAGAATTTCAAGCGGGACCAAGTCCTCCAGACACGAATACGGGGGACAGAGATTCAGGTTTTGCATCTCCAAATGTGAAAATGACAGTTACGGCCTCCACCTGTGGTGACGACGGCTTCCTTCAAATTGCAACTTGAGCGTTCCTTGGGGAAATCATCTCTTGGCTTTCCAGTCCCGGAGCACCGCGGGCGTATGGTCAGAGTGGGTTCTTTCCGAGGGCTGCAGACAATTCTCCACGCGCCCCAGCCCTGCCAGGTCTCAGGGAAACCAGCTCAAAGGCTGTTAGCCCCACCTTGCAAACAGCTTCCAGCCTACTCGCTGGCCAGCGTCCCGAGGAGAAACCCTGGGCGGCCCAGGCGCGCCGGAGGGATCGGATCTTCTGTGTAGGCTGCGCCCCTGATCCCTTCAGGCCCCGAGGGTTACTCCCAGGTGGCTACACGTGGCGGTGGGAGGTGACCTTCCTGCCCCAAGCCCAGAGCAGCCCAGCGAGGGTTGCGGCTGTGTGTCCGTCTCTCCACTTCAGAAGGGAGGAAAGAGAAGGTCCCACAAATTTTGTCCCGATTGGGCCCTGGGTGCAGATTCCAGCTACAGCCTCTGTCAGCCGCGGGGAGCTGTAGAAGGAAAGAGGCTCCAAGAGAAGAGAAGGAGGGGTTCTGACCCACTCCTCCAAGTCGGTTCTGGGGCCCCAGGTTGGACTCACTCTGAGGAATGCGACCTTAGGCAGACTGCCCTGCGGTTCTGCGGCGTTTCCTCAAGGCAGCCCCCTCACTGGACTGCACGGAAGGGCCTCGAGGGACGAGGGCTTGGGGGGAGGGGACCGTCCGGCGAATTGGGAGCCAGAGCACAGGGGCCCCAATATTCCAGCGACGGCAGACCCTCCAGACGCAGATGGGGAGCCTGAGCAGGCCCTGCTGGCGAGAGGTCACCAGCCCGTCAGAGGGGGAGCTGGGGCCCCAGTGCGGGCGGCGGTGGGAGGGGTTCCCGGCACTGCCTGCGCCGCTGTGCCCCTCGGTGGGCAGGGGAAGGGGCGGCCGGCCGGGCAGCTCGGGGCTCCTTGCTCGGGAAGCCCGGGGGGGGGGGGGCTCAGCCCTTCCCGGAGAAGCCACGACGTGCCCACGGCGCCCCAGACTTGGCTCGCAGCCCGCGGCCCGAGCCGCGACTCCGGGAGAAGGGCCTCATCCTCCCCACGGAGGTGACGCGGTGCGTCCGCGGGAAGCCACCCCGCGCAGAGGCCCCTCCCGGCCCAGCAGTACGCGCGCCCCCCACCGCAGGCCCGGCGGCGGGGAGGGACGGTCTCCTCGCCCCCTCCCCGCTCCCCGGCCACATGAATGTCTTCTCCGCCCCAAGGTCCTGGGAAACACAACGCCCGGGGTTGTGCGGGGGCGAACGAGGTCGCGGCTGCGCCCCGGGAGCGCAGGGCCGGCGGCCGGGGGAGGGAGCGGGCTCGGGCGTCTCGCGAGAGCCGCGGCGCTGGGGTGGGGGCTGGGGGAGCTCCCGCGGCGGCAGGGACCCTCCCGGCTGGAAGGTCCCGGGGCCGCCCGAGGGCTGAGCAGCGCCGAGTTAGCCGGGTAGCCGCGTCGGGCTATAGCCGCCAAATCTGCGCTTTCCGTGCTTCCGGGGAGGAGGAGAGGGGAGTTGGCGGGGCTGGGCAGTAGGGGAGACTTTGGGGGAGGGTTGGCTGCAGGGCAGAGCCGGGGAGGGAGACTGTGACCCCGACCCTGAACAAGGCGTTCTCGTCGGTGGAAGCGGGACCCCAGCTCGGGAGGCACACCGGAGCGTTCGGGGAGAGCGTGGTCCGATCGAGGGGGGCCTGAGGCCCGCAGCCCGTCCCCAGGTTCCTCCCAGAGCCGGCACCGCCAGGACGTGACAGGTGCAGCTGGGAGCGGGGGCTCCCCACGCCACGCCACTTTGTAAAATATAAAGTTTACTCTGGCTTAACCCTTTCCCTGTTCGGAGTTCCCCTGGAAGCCACTGGTGGGAACCCATAAGTTGGAAGAAAAAAACCTCTCAAACACCGCCTCCCCACTTTAGGGAGTGGGGGAGCCTTACTCCCTCAGTGAGTGGGGCAGAAAGGTGGCCAAAGAGACTGGGCCGTGCATGCAGTCAGCCTGGCTCTGCTGGCCGGGTCCCTGGACACAGGGTACAGTGAAAGGCAGGTCCTCCTCCTGTCTGCAGTAAGGCCCAGTGAGGCACCTCCTGACCTAGCTTTTCAGGCGCCTCTCCCTTCTAGGACTTAAAAAGTCCCCTTCATGGGCACCTGGGTGACTCAGTTGGTTGGGCGACTGCCTTCGGCTCAGGTCATCATCCTGGAGTCCCGGGGTCGAGTCCCGCATCGGGCTCCCTGCTCGGCAGGGACTCTGCTTCTCCCTCTGACCCTCTTTCCTCTCGTGCTATCTCTCATTCTCTCTCTCTCAAATAAATAAAATCTTAAAAAAAAAAAAGCCCCCTTCCTAGTTCTTATACCATATTACTGAATCTCATCAAGTTTAAGACAACATCTTCCCTTTTCTGAAATCTGAGTTCATACGACAGTTTGGGGGGAGGTGTCCAGGGCACTGTGAGCCCTGTGTCTGCAGGTGTGACTGTCCCTGCAGCAGGTGCACTGATTCCTGCCCCCCACCCCTCGGTGGAGAGACCCAGGAAGCCAGCTGGAGGGGAGACCTTCCTTGAGGTGCAGGGAGGGGCGGGGAGCAGATCACCCTCCAGGCAGAGGCCAAGGGGCTCAGGATTTTGGCTGCAGGATGGCACGGATTCAGAGGCAGCTCTGACCTCAGAGGAGTTTTAGGAACACCTCAAGCCATTGATTTCCCTAATAGTTTCCTTTTTATGTAAACTCACTAGAGATCTGGTTGGGGGGGGGGGGGATCAAGGTGTAAATAGGCCCAAAAGAGATCTTTGAGTAAGTATAACATAAAAATTCTGGCTACATAAAAGCATTGGGTCATGACTCTATTGGCAATGTCTTCGTACATTTTCTTTCTTAGTGCTTCCGGAAATATCAGTGTCTGGCTTCAGTGGCATCATGGACCCTGATACTAACCAAGCCCTTCCGTGGGCCACTCATTCATTTAACAAAGCCGTTACTGAGTGTGGCAGGCAGTTCCCAGAACCGTGACGCAGGCCCTTTCCCTATGTGGATCCAGTGACAGCCCAGTAAGGTGGGTACCTTACTCCAGTTTTACAGATGAAGATAAAGCTCAGAGATGTTAGGCAACTTGCCCAGGGACACACAACTATTAGCAGCAGAATTTGGATCTATCTTTACCTCTGTGGGTCTCCACTGCCCCTTGGCCAGCAGGCTTGAGGTTCAGCTTGGGGCATCCCAGATGCCTTAGGGTCCCCAACAGTCTCTACCTGTGCAGAATAAGTATGTACACTTGTTCACTAAGTATTTATTAAATGCCTGCTGTGTGTGTGTACCAGGCACTGTGCTAGGCATGGGGCATACAGCCTCTGACCCACGGATGTTGGAGGTGAGGGGACTTGAGTAGGTCCCAAAGGAGTAACAATTAAACCGACAAGATGATTTCAGAGAGTCACACATGCCTTGTAGAAAATAAAGCATGTGACAGACAATGAGTGGGAGGGCGGCCTTAGTCAGTGTGGTCGGTGAGGATCTCTGTCAGGAGCTGACCCTTCAGTTGCGACCTGAAGGAATGTATGCCAGGCAGCC